ATAACTCTCGAAGGAGTTTAGTGCCGATTTTTACCAAATTTGATACAGACATGCATCTGGGCAATGCAACGACCTAGTTCGAAGATGGGTCAGATTGATCAGAAAAGATTTAGACCAGTGTGGGTCATATGAGTGGGTGGGGTATTATGCACCAAAATTTCAAAATTGTGATAGCTGAAATTTGGTATGTAGCGTGCTAATGGCTCATAATGAAAAAATCTGAAGTGAAATTGGAAAATTTTTCAACCGGGAGGGACCCGAGACGTGACCCATACCGATTTTCAGAAATTGCCGTAAGAAGCTAAATTTCGGCACGGTGATACTTAATGACTTCTCGTGAAATTATATGAACTAAAAGTAACCAGAGGTAGTAAGGTCGTCTTGTAAGTAATCAAGGAGTAAGTAAATATTTTTAAAAATTGGTAGAAGTAATACGAAGAATTGACGCTACTGGTTGGTAGTGTTTTTTTAGTTACTGTAAGAATTAAATGCAAAATGCACATAATTTTATACAAGATTCTAAATTTATCAATCCTGGTGCCAAATTTAGCTGCTTGCGACAAGTATCTTCGCAAGATACTGATTCGCTGAATCTTCAGCTTCCTACGGCAAATTTGTGAAATCGGTGTGGGTTATCCTATGGGGTCGTTCAGATTGAAAAATGTTGAAACTATACCCAAGCTTAAGACATTGGCAATCCACATACCAAATTTCGACCTCCTGCGACAAATTTTAGAAGTTTCTATGAAATTTAATTTTTTCAGTCAATCCTAACCACTTAAATGACCCTCATCGGTCAACCACTTGACCGATCAGGCTCATCTTCGAACTCATCCTTACTTTTTGCCCGTAGATGAATTATGCAAGTCGATAGCTTTTGCTTAAAGAGAGTTAATCGTGCCTACAGACGGACAGACATCCTGAAAAATCTATAAGGCCATCTTAAAAGGCCTAAAACTGTAAATTACAGGATTTTCATACCAGGAAGGATCAAGTGAAAGGATAAGGGCCCACTTTTAATACTTTGAAGGGTCCAGATTTTTGGCTTTTTTGTCAAAAAATGTCAACATTCCATAACCCGGACCCATCAAAGTACTAAAAGTGGGTCCTTATCATTTCACTTATCCTATTATATCCTCACTGCATAGTTTTCATATTTTCATACAAGGTGCCCTTTGCACTTGATTTCATGAAATTACATGAAAATGAAAATTCCGCGAATTTGTTAAGTAATTTTTAATCGGATGGAAGAGTTTTAAAATTAGGAAATTTGATATTAATGAAATTATGAAAATTTGTTGTGAAAATTTTGCATCGGATAGAATTAGTTATTAAATTTAATGAAGAATGACCTTTCCTGTAAAGGTCGATTGATGCAAAGTAATTACATAAAAATGAGTGTTGTTAATTTTTTGGAGTACTATTTGTAATTAATCGAATGAAAAAAGTTTTACAAAATTGATATGTATGTCATTAAGTTTTTGCGAATACAGAGTTTTAGAAAATTACTATTTTGAAATTAATTTGTGTTTCTGTGCTAAAGTTTTCCGCCGGATAGAAACATTTGCAAAATTTTAGATGCTAATTTACTTTAAAGATCATCGAGCTCAAGAGATTTAATTGCTTTACATAGCTGAGTAAATTGAAGTTTGAAATTTGTATTTAAAAAATGTAGAAATTTATTGATATTCATTGAAGGTCAATGATTCAACTCCAGATGGTTATACTCTAAATAAATTTGATTAAAATTTACTCAATTTTGAGTAAAATTGCCACGAAAGCAACTATTGAGTAAAATTTACCCTGACAAAGGTAAAATTTACTCAAGGTTGAGCAAAAATCTTTCAACCTTGAGTAAATTTTACCTTTGTCAGGGTAAATTTTACTCAATAGTTGCTTTAGTTGCAATTTTACTCAACTTTATTTACAGTGTATGAATATAAACGCAAATTACAGAATTGTCATAGTCGAGACACGTTATGTCTAATTAGAGAAAATCTTGTTATGTGTGTTATCTTACAGAATCTTTGTTATCTCACAAAAAAATGTGATAATAAAATTGACCTTAAAATAAAACTAAGCATTAACTTAAACTTGAAATTTTTATTGAGTTTTAAAAAAATGGGGAAAATAAAATTGATGGATCAGCAACACTTTGAAAATAAATGAAAAACTACAAAATATTCGAGAAAAACATAATTTCACATAATTACCTGAAAATTTAAATATGAAAAAATAAAAAAATAATTGCTAATATTACTAATTTTTTGAAGTAATTTTTACTAGACTCCATACCCCGGAAAAATATTTTTTTATCCTACCCTACTCATGTTGAGCTCAACACGAGTAGGGTAGGATAAAAAAATATTTGTCCGGGGTATGATTATGAGTAGAAAGTTGATATTTATGAAATTCAAAGTTAGACGTCGTATAGAAATATTTGTAACATTTTAAATAAGCAATCAATTTGAAATAGGTAATTATAGGAAAATGAAATAGGTAATTTTAAAATGAGGAAAAATAAAATGGACGGATAAGCAACGGTATGATTACAAATGAAAAATTAAATTACAAGATTTTCATACATGAGAAAATTGTGAGATTTTTGAAATTAGTTTTTTGTGAAGAAGTTTCGCGTCGAAGAGAAATATTTGTACAATTTTAAATTAATGATGAACTTATAGATCATTTCAATCCAGGATTTATTTTTTTGTTGTAAATTGAAATTTTTATTGACTTTTTAAAAATAGGGAAAATAAAATTAGATAGATAAGCAACATTGTGAAAATAAAAGAAAAACTATAAGATATTTGTACCCCAGTATAATTTCACATAATTACGTGGAAATGTAAATTTTGCTAAATTTTTGGAGTAATTTTTACTCGAGGTAAATAGAAAATTGATATTTATGATATTCAAAGTTTGACGTCTGAAAGAAATATTTGTCAAGTTTTAAATGCGTTATTTCTAAAAAGATTATGTATCCCGAAGGCCCGAGTTAATTTTCATAATTGAAATTTTTCAATTTTTTTTAAAGTTTCACGTCGGAGAGAAATACTTTAAAATTTTAAATCCGTCATTAATTTAAAGATCAATAGGGCTGTTATCCGCACACCTTAATTGTTTTTCGTAATATCGTAAATTGGAATTTGTATGTAATGAACATTCTTTAAATATTTCAAAATTTTAAATCCGCCGTTAATTTAAAGATCAACAAAGCTAATCCGCACACCTTAATTGCTTTTCGTAATATCGTAAGTTGGAATTTGTAATGAACTTTTTTAAAAAATTGATAACGTTAAATTGATTGATTAAATTAAATTGAGTGATTAAAACAATTTGCGGGTTTACACTTCATTTCACTCAATTCCATAAAGATTCAAATTTTACAGATTTTTTGAATTAATTTTTAATCAAATATAAACGAGGAGAGTTTTAGAAAATTAATATTTGTGAAATAAAGCTTTTTATACAACAGTTTGACGTCGGAGAGTAACATTTTTAAATTTTAAAATTAGTGGTTAATACCACAGATATATCAATCAATCAATCAATTTATTAAATAACATATGGCCTTTGGCCCTCATCATACATAGGAAAATATTGCATTACATTTATAATTTAAGGTATTTCGCTAAAATAATTACATAAGTCGAAAAGTTTAAAAATGTGTACAAAGGTCATTAATATATTTTTGTAGAATTCTGTGTTATTATAATTATCGTTGTACATAGCGTGGAAAGATGTAGACGAACTAGATAAGAATTTGCGTAAGAATTGTTGTACGATAGGTTTAGTTATATTACATTTGAACAATAAGTGGTGAACAGTGGAGCACTCATAACTACATAGTGGGCATTTATCGAATCGAATTCTTTTGTTTGATAACCTTATAGAGAATAGGGACACTCGGAGTTGGGCAATTAGTCTACATGTCGTGATTGGTAAATCCATAGTTAAGTATGGTTCTGGTTGACCGTGATGGAGGAAGATATCAGTGTGTGGGATAAATGTGGAACATTTTAAGCGCGTGATATCACTGGAAGTGGTGTCATTAGTAATTTTCTCTAGTATTCCTTTCAGGGATTTTTGGATGAGTGATGGTAGCTCCTTGATATCCGATAAGAAGATATCTATCCCGGTGTTGTGTTTCTTTAGTAATTCATTGAGTTTTTGCGCCCAGTTGTGTTTTGTGATTGATCTCCTTCCCCAGCGTAGTTGATATCGTATGCATTCACCCAGGAATGAATCCGCCTCTCGATTGAGCAATTTAGCAAGGAATTTTAGGGAATGCTTGATTATTTGTGTGATGATGGGGGTCATGGCAGTCTCGAGCCGAAGGGCGTAACCTGGTGTGCACATTGGAAGATTCAGTAGCTTTTTATAGTATTTATTTTGGAACGTTTCTAACTGTTCTGTAAAATTTAGAGACCAAACTGGAGCTGCGTAAAGTAGAACTGTTTTGACTAGAGCGTTAAATAGTTTTGAGTGGGTGTTGAGGACGGGGACGCGAGCACGACGAGTAATTGCATTTACGTTGGCTACTGCTGCCGTTGCTTTATTTATGAAAGAAAGTTTTTTTTTATAAATTGTTTTTGTTAATAGTTTTAGTAAATGGTTGGCGTCGAATAGAAATATTTGTATTATTTTAAATCAGTAACTACTTAAAAGATCATTAATCTGGGGGAAGTGTATTCGTCTTTAATAATTTAATTAATTTAAATTCTTTCGATGATTTTTGAAAACTGGGGAAAATAAAATTTATAGATAAGCAACAATATGAAAAAACTGCAAATTACAAAATTTTCATACTAGTTTTATACATTCAGTTAAAACTTTAATACATGTACATGGAAATTTATTAAGAGTTATTTTGACTGGAATTGAGGAGTTTTAGAAAATTGATATTTATACAATTATTGGTAAAATGTGCGAGTGAGTATAATAAGGAGTAAGGACGAGGATGAGACTCACTGTAAACTGTAGAATCCGGATTTAAAGGCCAATGGTCAACGTTTCGAACCTTCGTTCTTCTTCAGGACCGGAGGGAGAATTTTTGGTGACTGCTCACGGGAAGAACCAATGTGAGTGTGAAGGAATGGGGATAGGAAGGATGGAAAGGAAGACTGCCAGACCACGTGGGCGTAGCAGTCTAGGCTCAGGTACCTCGGGGTCGCCCAGACACCCGTCGGCAATTAAAAACCGCCCTGAGGGTATATTGAACTCACAAAGATTACTTTAAAAGAAAACTAAAATTGACATTCAAACCAGGAGGTTTGTTGGCCTTGAAATGAAAAATGATTTTATTCTCAAGTGTCAGGCGAGCCTTCTCATCTGAGGGTGCATTTACCAAAGCAGTGATCATGATATCATTCTCACTGTGATTATGGACAAAGTGATCGGAAACAGTAGTGTGAGAATCATTACGAATAGAAAGCAAATGTTCACGAAAGCGATCGGCCAGTTTACGAAGAGTCTGACCAATATATATTACATCAAGGCATTTGTTACAAGTGATAGCGTAAATTAGGCAGGAGCTAGTACAAGTAAAAAGAGACTTAATTTCAAAATTAATCGTTTTAATTTTTAAAGAAGGACGTTTAAGGACATGAGTGCAGGTTTTACACCGTGGGCGATTGCACGGAAAAGTGCCAAAATTAGTAACGTTGCTGATTGGGTCACGAATAGGTTGTAACTTGGATCGTACGAGAAGGTTTTGCAAATTAGGGGCACGGCGATAAGCAACAATAGGTTTAGATGGGAAATTTTTATTACGGGAAAGAATTGAATTGAATAACGATTTAGTTTTTGTAACCACAGAAGTAATTTGAGGAGAATAGCCAACAACCAACGGTAAGACCTCGCCAGCAGATTTATTATTAGGGGTCAATAAATGATCTCGGGACAAGTTTGTGACCTTATTTAGGGCATTATGTAAAAGCTCGGCTGGATAACTACGATTTAGAAAAAATTGGAGCATTTTAGAACTTTGGGTAAAAAAATCGTTATCATCGCTACAGATGCGTTTTAATCGTAGAAACTGTGAAAAGGGAATACTATCTAGAATGTGTTTGGGATGACACGAGTTGTACGGAAGATATGAATGGGAATCAGTGGGCTTATAAAAAATTGAGGTTTTGATTCTAAATGAATCAATGCTAAGTGTAAGATCAAGGAAGGAAACAGAGGTCGGGGACATATTGTTGTCATATTTAAGGAGGGGTGCCAAACTGAGAAAGCATTTAAAAAAGTATGAATTTCGCTTTCAGTGGCTTGAAAGAACATTAAAATATCGTCAATAAAGCGTTTGTATACAAGGGGAAGGGGACCAACATAAATTTCAAAGAATAATTTCTCCTGATACGCAAGAAAAAAACATGCATAGCTTGGACCAACTTTCGTGCCCATAGCCACGCCGGAAGTTTGGGAGTAAAATTCTGAATTGAACTCGAAAGCATTTAAAGTGAGGACTAATTCTAATAAACGTATCAAAACGTGGGAAGGGGGATCGTTTTCAGGTCGGGAGTCAAAAAAGAATTTGGCGGCTGTCAGGCCATCAGCATGGGGAATGACCGTGTAAAGCTGGGTCACATCCGAAGTAACAAGGAAAGTTGAGTTATTATGTGGGTCAAGGGGGAAGGAAAAATCTTTCAGAAAACACAGCAAATCCGTCGTGTCCTTAAGATACGACGGGGTTTGCGCGATAATGGGATGTAAAACGGAGTCAACGAAAGCTGAAATTAAAGAAGTGGGACATGAAACTGTCGACACGATTGGCCGACCGGGGTTACCAACTTTGTGGATTTTAGGTAGTAAATAAAATTGGGAACAGCGAGGGGACTTTTCAATCAAACGTTGAGCTATTAGGGGAAGCTCGCCACTGCCAACATAATCACCGACTGTTTTAGACACTTGTTTTTGATAAATGGGAGTTGGATCGTGGTCAAGTTTACAATAAAATGAAGAATTACTAAGTTGGGAGAGAGCCTCAGCTATGTATAGGTCACGTGACCAAACGACTACTGAGCCACCCTTGTCCGCTTTTCGGATAACAATGTCGTTACGGGAAGTAAGACTATTAATGGCTGAAAGTTCGTTGGATGAGAGGTTAGAATGTTTAGATTTGAAAAAAGAACCGTTGTCGGGAAGGGCGGCTCGACAAGTATTAATAAAATATTCTAATTCAGGGATTTGATTTGGAGGAGGAGTCCAGGCACTCTTTTTGGGGGCGACCGAATTAATAATTAATTCAGAGTTTGACAGACTAGAATCAGGGGACGAGTTGGAGGAGGAAGAACCAAAATAACACTGAAGGCGCAGGCGGCGGAAAAAATGTTCATGGTCTCTGTGCAAATCAAATAAATTAGACTTTTCAGGGGTCGGAGAGAAACTGAGACCACGAGTAAGCAAAGATTTCTCATCTGGCGAAATAATTAAATCGGAGGGAATAGTCACGACGGCTTTATCGGATGAAAAATTGGGGGCGGGTGTCAAAAGGGGTGAAGTTGAGCTAGGAGGACAAATTTTGTTAAACTTGGACTCCTTCCTGCTCAAAAGAACATTAAAATAACGATTATTAAAATACCGGGCAAGATCTACAATTCTACCATAAGTGCTTGGTGAGGCATGTCTCCTCAAATTACCACGAGAGTCATAAATTTGTGAAGAGAGTACGATATTTTGCTCAATTGAATGTTGTAGAGTCAAATCAATTAAAGAAAAAGACGCATTACGTAAACATTTACCTAACAGGTGTTTTTCATTCGCAGTAGGAACGAAACCGGGACTAAATTTTAGTTGAAACCCAATTGGAATGACTTTTTTAGAAAAACAACGACGTAAAAATTGAATATGAGAGGAGAGACGACATTTCTTTAAAAGCAAATTAAAGTAGGACTTTGCGAGTTCAATAATGGAGAAAGGGTAAGAGTTAATTGAACAGAGGAATTTATTGAATATTTGGGATTGGGTGGCCATTGTCGAGAAATTTTGAAAAAAGGGATGCACAAAAATTGAGGATAATAATTGGTAAAATGTGCGAGTGAAATGTGAGTGTGAAGGAATGGGGATAGGAAGGATGGAAAGGAAGACTGCTACGCCCACGTGGTCTGGCAGTCTTCCTTTCCATCCTTCCTATCCCCATTCCTTCACACTCACATTGGTTCTTCCCGTGAGCAGTCACCAAAAATTCTCCCTCCGGTCCTGAAGAAGAACGAAGGTTCGAAACGTTGACCATTGGCCTTTAAATCCGGATTCTACAGTTTACAGTGAGTCTCATCCTCGTCCTTACTCCCTATTTATACAATTATGTTTTCTAGAGTTTCGCGTCGAGGAGAAAGATTTGTAAAGTGATACATCGTAAGGATTTTAAAGATTGAAAAAATTAGTTATTTTTCGTAATTTCGTGAATTAAAATTTTGAATGACTTAAAAAATGGGAAAATTTCTTCACATTCATTAAATTAGAGTATGAAATAAATTCAAATTGCAAGATTGCATAGATTTTTTTGGAGAAATTTTTAATCGAATACAGGAGTAGAGAAAATTGATATTTATGAAAATATTTTTTTTTAGAAAGTTTCATGTCGGAGAGAAATATTTGTAACATTTTAATTAAGTAAGTACCTCAAAGATTAACTCGACAAGGTACTTTATTTTTTTTTAATTTTGTCAAATTTCGTCAAATAATTACAAAAATGTGGAAAATATTGAAAAACTGATAGAATAAATAGATCAAAAATTACAAGATTTTCCTACCCGAGAAAATTCATATTTATGAATTTAATTTTTGTAAAGTTTCACGCCGAAGAGAAATATCTGAAAAAATTTAAATTAACAATTTGACTTGAAGATAATTTGAATTCCGGAATGAAATTGTTTTTTTTTAAATTTCGTAAATTTAAATCTTATTGACACTGTGTAAATAAATGAAAAAGTATAGGATTTTCGTATCCGAGATAATCAATCCATAATTTTACATAATTACACTAAAATGTAAATTTTGCTAATTTTTTGGAGTAATTTTTACTCGAGGAATGAATAGAAAATTGATATTTATGAACTTCAAAGTTTGACGTGGGATAGAAATATTTGTAAAATTTTAAATGCGTTATTACTCCAATGATGATATATGTTTTCATAATTTCGTAAATTAAAATTTTTATGATTTTAAGAATTTTGAAAAAATAAAATTGTAGATGAGCTAAAGTATGAAAATAAATGCAAAATTATAGGATTTTATTACCCGAGGTAATTTTCATATCTAAGATAATTGAAACTTATGAAATTCATTTTTTGTGAAGTTTCACGTCGGAGAGAAATATTTGTAAAATTTTATATCTGCAATTAGTTTAAAGATCGTCGGAACATCATACTTTAATTGCTTTTCGTAATTACGTAAATTGAAATTTGTAATGAATTTTAAGGAAATTTATTGATCGATAAACAACAATATGAGAATATCTGTAAATGAAAAATTACAAAGTTTCGATGCTCAAGAACATGAAAATTTTTGAAATTCATTTTTTGTAAAGTTTCACGTCGGATAGAAATATTTGTAAAATTTTAAATACGCAATCAATTTAAAGATCAAGTAGTCTGATCTTGAATTGTTTTTCATAATTTCTTAACCTTTTCCTTCGTAAGAGAATTCTCAAAAATATCCCGTTGCTGCGGAATAGCAACGCCTCGCAACCACAGGTTGGCGTAGCAATTTTTTAATTACCAAAGCTATATCACGGAGCAAATGTAAATTTTAGTGATATGTTCCATGGATATAATTCCAAAATTATTCAACTTTCTGTGGAGGCATTTCATTTCAAATATGACGTAATCATGGAGACATTTCAGCCCGACCCAGGACTTATGTACCTGTGTTGTCCATCCGTCCGTCTTGCGTCTTGCCCTTCGTGAATCTTATTCTATCAACTTGAAATTTTGGAAAATTAAAAATGGCAAAGTAATAGTAAAAATTTAAAGTCGATAGGATAGATTTACGAGAGTTATTGATAACCAGGCAGGCAGAGACACACCGGACAAAACATGTACATGCATACATACATAGCCCCTGACTCGGGCTAAAAATCGAATTTTTTTCAAAATGCGTAAATCCATGGAAAAAATATTTTTTTCAATGAGAGGAAATATCCTTCGCTACGCAATAAAGTCAGTGACCAGAGGAAAGGATATTTCCTTCTTTCCGTATCTATGCCGAATTTTGAGACAACGGATAAATCCGTTGCTCCGTCGCAACGCCTTAAAAATTAGGATGGAAATATCCTCTGTTCCGTCACAACGCCAAGTTTATGACGACGGATATTTCCATTGTTCCGCAGCAACGTTCGAAATTCGGCGACGGATATATCCATCGTTACGAAGGAAAGGGTTAAATTTAAATTTGAATGATTATTTTCATAAAATAGGAAAAAATAAATGTCTAGAAAAGCAGCAAAAGTATGAAAATAAATGAAAAAGTAAAAAATTTTCATTCCTGATGATATTGAAATTTATGAAATTTATTTCTTGTAAAGTTTCACGTCGGATAGAAATATTTGTAAAATCTTTAATTCATAATTAATTTAAAGGTCTGGCTAATCCTTATACTGTAATTGTTTTTCGTAATTTCGTAAGTAGGAAATTTCGAATAACTTTTTTCGAAAAATGGAGAAAATAAAATGGTGAGAAAAGCATGAAAAATTGCAAAATTTTCATGCAAAACTTTGCTTGAACCAATCTACGACTGCCCCTCACGTTCTTGCGGCTGATTTTGCTACATGGATTCGAGTTGGTCTGACAATAATAAATTTTTGCAGTTCACACTTCCACAGTTTTTGCAAATTGCAATAGTTTGCATAGTGTAAAGATATTTAATTAAATGTAGGAGGAGGAATTTTTTGCAAGGATTCGTATTGTTACTAACTTGTGGAAAAGTTGGTCATCTTGTGTTAGTTGGTAAGTTAAATGTCGTAAAAGTGTGAAGGTTGAAAATTTCAACTTGAAATTTTTGAAATTGGGAAATTAATTTGTAGATTAAGTAAGTTCTAAATTAAAATTTGAAAATGTGTGAATTCTGTGGAATTTACTTGATCATCTTGTTAGTTAGTTAGTCAGTTATGAGTTAATTTCAAGTTAAATGTGGTAGGAGGATTTAATAAGTTGAGGATTGAAATTTCTGAAATTTGCAAATTTTTAGAAAAAAGTGCTCAAAATTTGGTAATGAGTGAGATCTGTGGAATTTTAGTTAGTCATCTTGTAAGTTAATTAGTCAGTTAGTTTAAAGGCAAATGCGGTATGAGGATTTGGTAAATTGAAGGTTGAAATTTCTGTGATTTACAAAGTTTTCGTGCAAATTAAAATTTGATAATTTGGAGATTTAGTTAGTCATTTGATTAGTTAACTAGTCAATTAGTTTCTAAGTTAAATACGGTTTAAATTTCTGAAATTAACAAATTTCTCGTTTTAAAATTTCCTCAGAAATGGGCGAATTCCGTGGCTGCCTGATTTGTCTGGAGCCTTGCACGGTGAAGAAATGCGACGTGGAGGTTATCAAGGACAAGGAACCAGAAATTTGCACGGGACACAATGAAGAATTAAATTTAATGTTCATTCTCAAAAAAGTTTTGAACGTTCCGAGCGAATTGATTGCACGGAACTTGATAAAACATGGGAGTCCCTCAGAGTGGGGGATTTCTGTGTGTGGATCGTGTAAACTGACGTATCTTGAAAGGTATGGGTGGTCAGATTTTATAAAAATTTTCAATTTTGTACATTTTTTGGTGGTGGACAATGGAGTTTTTGTAAATTTGAAATATTTGTATTACTGTTTTTTTTATGATTCGTAGAACCAAGATTTTGAATTGGATTTTATGAAATTTTGTGAATGTTTTGATGGCTGAAAGTTTTTGTAATTAGAAAGTTTGACGATCTTTAGAATTACGAGTTTTTGTAAACTTTGAATTCGCGATTTTGTAAATTTCAAAGTTTGTCGATATTTAGAATTTAGGATTTCATGCATTTTTGTAAGTTTTGAATTCGCGATTTTATAAATTATAAAGTTTGACGATGTACCGTGATCTTTTGCAAATTTGGAATTTACGATGGTTTATTGGCCGAAATTCTGTGCAAATTTCGAAGTTTTACGATATTTAGTATAATAATTTTTGTGTAAACTTTAAAAAGTTAATTATTCATATGATTTTTTGGTTATTTGCAGAGCCAAGATTTTGCACGATGAAGCAACAAGTGTGGAAATGGGATTTAAAACGCTCCGAAATCAGGTTGCGGAACATATAAGTAATTCAAAAATCAATGAAGAAGTCGTCCCGGGTGGAACTGTGCCCCCTCCACGACCCCCACCAGTCAAAGGAAGAGGAAAACGGAAAGGGGGAAGTGGTCAACCTAGCCCGGTTTTTAATGAAATAAGGTCATGGGTCGTGCAAAATGGTGAGTTTTTACGGTGGGGAAAATACTTTGGGTTCAAAATGCAGTATTTTGAGCTGGATTCTTCCCAGGGTTTGGATTTCGGGGGCTGTTACACCCTCAAAAAGACGAAAAGAAGGCAACAGGCAGGCGGAAATACAGATTTTGTAAACCTTTTGTGTTTTTATCGCGGTCACGCACGCACAAATGCATGTTTTACATTGATACAAAGTTAATTTCCTTTAAAAAAATGTATTTTAATCCTGAAGACCGAAACCCTACATCTATCGTCAGTTAAGTAATTAAAATTCGCCGTAATATTTTTTGGCGGTGTAAAATTCTTACAAATCTACGTGGAGAAGGCAACAGTCGTACGAAAATACGGGATTTGTGAAGAAATTCAAAGAATCTTTGACGTCTTTGACGACTGTGGTAGTGTGGTCTTCACGTAGATTTGTAAGAATTTTACACCGCCAAAAAATATTACGGCGAATTTTAATTACTTAATTGGCGATAGATGTAAGGTTTCGGTCTTCAGGATTAAAATACATTTTTTTTAAAGGAAATTAACTTTCTATCAATGTTAAAAATGCATTTGTGCGTGCGTGACCGCGATAAAAACACAAAAGGTTTACAAAATCCGTATTTCCGACTGATTGTTGCCTTCTCCACGTTGATTTTCGTCTTTTTGTGGGTGTAACACCCCCGGAAATCCAAACCCTGGGGAGAACGGGGCTCTTATTTTAATAACGTATTTTGCCAGGTCTTAAACTTGTGGGAGGATTAATTTGTAAATTATGATTTCAATTGTAGGCGACGACGAGGCCAAAAAGAATGTCGAAATAATGGTGAAAGCTGCTGGTGGGATTACGGTAACATTCATTAACAAAAAATTATTAATTAATTATGGGGCGAAAATAGTCTGACAATTTACATTTTACTTTAGAACTACGTGGCCCAACTAGATGCCGAAAAGACTTTTAAGACGTTGGGACCCGGGCGAAAACTTACGGATACTTCCGAACCTAAAGCCGGACCTTCGTCGGCAATTTGTGTTTCGAGCAAAGTACAAATCGCAGTAGCTTCATCGTCATGTACAAATACAAATCAGTCATCGTCGGCATCGATGTCATCATCATCGACAGGAAATTTACCGAGTGGAGGAGGAAATCCAAGTCAACCATCTGCCGCGTCCCAGGCCGCCTCCGCCGCTGCGGCGGCTGCTTTGGCAAGATTTGCAAAATCTACGAAGCCTCAAGTAGATTCAAAAGAGCTGTTAGCGTCGCGACAATGCGCATTTATTAAAGGTTTGTTGACATCAAAATGGTTAACGTACGACTATCACTAAAATTGTTAAAATCAACAAATTTTTAATCATTTTTCCGCTCTGGGAACTTATTTTAAAATTCTGGGCGACAAATTTGTAGTCAGTGAGTTGATTAATGGAATGGCGTCGAGTTTTTTAAGCCAGTTTCGACGAGTTCCAATTTTTCTGAAGGCTTCTTAACCTTAAGATTTCCTCTTTCAAAAAGTGTCAAAAACTGGGGTGTGTGTTTTTAAAAAATTGGCAACTCCCTGCTCTTCAAATTTGTCGTTCAGAATTTTTAGATTAAATTCCTAGAGCCGAGAAATGAATAAAAATGTGCCGATTTTGGTAATGAATCGAGTCCCACGCTAATTTTGTGTAAAATATTTATGCTAATTTGCGCATTTTGTAATTTAGAACAAGCCCGTAAAGAATTGGAGGCAGAACAACAGACATCCGAAAACGGTGGAGGAGATTCAACTAATGACAATCAGCCGTGTACTTCCAGTGATGCTGCCGGTAAAAAAGCGGAGAACGGTCACGTAGTCATTGATCCGGCGTGCTATGCAGTTCAAGGAGTGTTCTACCGGTGTCCAGAAATTGGTAGGAAGGAATTATGTGTCAATATTGCTTTGACTTATCTGAATCACAAAAACCACTCGTGTTAAACTACTGGGGAGTCGATAAGCGAGTACCATGCATCAATAATTACCCTATTCGCATCTCATTTTGCCGTACAAATTAAATTGTACAAGTCAATTATTTATTTCAGATTACAAGAAATTTTATGTAATTACAAATGATGTTATTATAAAGAGACGTACAAATTACACAAAGTTTCACCTAATTTGTTTTGTACGTTAAATATTTTGTAATTAAACAAAGTTCTAATATGATTTTGTAATTATGTAAAATATCTTTAAATCTGAAATATTTAAATAGGTAATTCATTTGTGTAATTTGTACGTCAAAATGAAGTGCAAAAATGAAAATATTAAATAGTGGTGGTGGTTGCGGCGGTAAGCTTATCGACTTCAGAGTAACTTGTGGTGGTAGATAAGTCAAACCTATATTTTCAGGACGAATAATAACTAAATATGTCGTATTTTTTTACATTTAGAGTGTCACACACCCGTCTCCAGAGCAGAGATTGATGACAAAATCCGAGAATATTTATTGAAACAGTTAAAAAATAGTGAAGCCGACCAGTACCTAATTCCGTGCCAAATGATTCACTCGTGCAACAAGCCGTTGGAGAGGGTTGGTCAGAAATATGGAAAAAAACTCCTTTGAATTTCCAGGTAGTTAAATATTCCCATTTTTTCTAGGTGACCACCTGTATCGACACGTTATGGAACATATTAAACAAGATAATCCACAATCCGACGGAACTAAAGTATCAACAAATCCGCTGTTTGAGTCAGGCCTTTCAAGAGAAAATTCATCCCGTCTTTGGCGGCGAGATATTTCTGAAGGCTGCCGCCTTCCAGAAAGTATTGCTCCCGAACAAATCCACTTTTAATGAAGAGGAAGAATATTATTGGGAATTTAATCCGGAAGATGATACCACTTTTGGGCCGGAGTTAATGGTAATAAGGCAGAAAATGGAATTATTCTCTACAATGTTTAAAGGAAGACTCATCGTCAAAATCAGCATATTTTTAATCATTTCTCCGCTCTGGGAATTTATTTTAAAATTCTGGACGACAAATTTGTAAAGGAGGGAGTGGCCAATTTTTTTTAGAAATACACACTCCAGATTTTGACACTTTTTGAAGGAGGAGATCTCAAGTTTAAGAAACCTTCAGAAAATTGGAAGAACTCGTCGAAACTGCCCTTAAAAAACTCGATGTCATTTTATTAGTCAACTCACTGACTGTAAATTTGACGTCCAGAATTTTAAAATAAATTCCCAGAGGGGAGAAACGATTACAAATGTACAGATTTTTGGTGATGAGGCATCGAATCCTGGGGCAAATTCGCCCTTAAATTTGACCCAGTTAGCAAATATTACTCGAAAATAATTTTAAAAATTTGTTGGAACGACATTTTGCAAAAAAAAGTGTGTCAAAAATTCAATATTTTTGGAAAAAACACATTTTGATAATATCTCTGAGTAAGAGCCCTCAATATTTGCATACATGTAAAAATTACGTAAATATATAAAAAGTATATAAAAAGTTTTAAGCTGTAATGATGCATTAAATTCGCAAAATCGACAGAAATTACACGATTACAAAATTAATTAAATTTTCAATATTAACAATTTCGTTTAACAGAATAAATACTTTTAAGACTTAAATTCAACTCTGTCCAATTTTTGTTCCAGGTGCTCCGAGACTTGCTCAAAAGTACCGTTCCCATCAAGCCAGAACTGGATAGAAACGTCCAAGTCCTTCGAGCTCAACAGGTCGCGATTAAAAGCGAGCTTCCCGATGAATTTTACACCCTCAGCAAGGAAGAAGTCAAACGTGAACAGCAATTAAAGACTGAAACTGTCGAGCGTGAATTGACCTTGCGGACGAAAGCGATGCGCGACCGTGATGCAACCAGAGAACTGCGGATCTACCGTTTTGGCGTGATGCGAATTCGGTTTCCTGACTCGAAAATTTTGCAGGTTTGTGGTAGACAAACAGGGCTTTCTAATTAATTATCTAATTAAATAGCATATTTAAACCAATTATTAATTACTAATTAACGTTAACTAGTACTACCGAAGCTAATTTTAATTACTAATTAATTAGAAAATCGCTAAAAATCACCAATTAATTGGCCAATGTTGTAATTAATTAGCTAATTAATTGGCTTAATTGGCAACCTGAGTTTAATTACTAATTACAAATTAATTAGACAAAATATTTTCCTTCTAATTATCAATTACTAATTAATTAGAAATGTGAGTAATTAAAAAGCTCTGTTAAGATAAACAAGTTATTTAAAATAACTTTTTTATCCTAAATAATCAGAAGGCAGTTATGTATTTATTTTCAACTTTTTCATTTGATCACGACCGACGGTCGAACATTGTGGGTGTGTTCCTTAACTTTTACGGATGACAAAAATTTCAAATTTTTTTACATATTCACGCAGATTTCTAGGTTTTCAGAAATATAAATATTTCCGCTACTATTTCAAAATACGTAAATCTTTTACATATTTTTCACAAATTTTGTAAATATTTCAAGGGTTAGAGATGATTTTTTTTACTCGAGGAAATTGGACCATAAAAATACAGGATTAAACTCAGAAATGCAAAGTTTATGAAAATATCTATTTTTATGATTTTTTTATTATTAAATATTCTGTAAATGTTTTGGCGTTTTTACATATTTCGTAAATATTTATATTTCAACGATCAGATACGATTTTTTTTACTCGAGGAAATTCAACCATAAAAATACAGGATTAAACTCAGAAATGCAAAGTTTATGAAAATATCTATTTTTATGATTTTTTTAATTAAATATTCTGTAAACATTTTGACGTTTTTCTTCGTAAATACTGTAGATAACCTCCCTGTGAAGATTGCAAGTTTATTTCACCATTTTTTGTTTGTTATTCTTTTCAGGGAACTTTCAGCGCATCAGATAAGCTCTCCAGCCTATTCAAGTTTGTCAGGAAATACTTAGTGTCTGCCGAACTTGAAGAGTTTGACCTAATTCAACCCGGTGGAGAAACGCTCAACAAGTTCGACATGGAGACGCGACTCTCCGAATTGAAATTGCTGCCTTCGTCGGTGCTCATGTTCAAATTGGAGCACACTCCGGAAGCCCTCATGTCTGGCGAAGTTTCCTATCTCAATCCAGATCTGCTCATGAAATGGGAGATGTTGTAACAATAATTATAGAAAAATTCTACAAAAAATAGGAGTAGTTTAGTTAGTTGCTCGATCGAATACATAATTTGCTACCTTTGAATACAAACATTTTCTATGCAAATGAGATAGATAGATATATTTTGATACATATTTACCTACATAAATATTTAATCAGTGGATATTATGTATCGTCCTAAATTTAGTACAAAGTTACAAAAGTATGTACTTTCTATTACCTGGGTGAACTTGGAGGTAGCAATCTTACATATATGTAGTTCTATACATTTGTTTAGTTCAGTGCAAAGGTGGGCAAAATATAAGTACGTTACTATTTATTTTGGGCTCAGTTGTTCCCAGGGTTTGGATTTCCGGGGCTGTTATACCCATAAAAAGACGAAAAGATACGTGGGGAAGGCAATAATCAGTCGAAAATGCAGGTTTTGTGAAGAAATTAACTTTTTATCGCTGTCAAAAACCGTGAAAACGATGTATTTTCACAGTTAATTTCTTCGCAAAACCTGCATTTTCGTGTGACTGTTTCTTTCTCCACGTGGATTTTCGAAGTCTTTTTGTGGGTGTGACAGCCTCGGAAATCTAAACCTTGGGAGGAACAGGGCTCAAAATATTTGCTCTATCTTGCCCACCCTTGTTAAATTGTGCAATTAACTATCCACACACATATATGGCTGCCTATTTAATTCTATTAAAATACGTAAGAAAAAGTTTGCACGTGTTTACAACATGAACTCGTATTGATGAATTGATTGCAAGAGAAAGTTAGTTTTCTCTTGATAAATAGTTGATGAATTAATGATACAATGCTGAAATTATGGGGTTATGTATTTCAATCTGATATAAGAATAAATTCATTCAACCGGAACATTGTTTGTCGTCGTTTGCATATTATTAAATCATGTCCTCACACAATAGGAAAAACACGTTTATTGTCTGCCAGTGACGAAGGAGTGACGACAATTCATGAAATTTAGGCAAGTTCATGGCTAAATTTACTCCCGTTTTTGTAGACATTCAGTTTGTCTTTATGCATGGATGAGCAAAAATGTGGCAAAAAAACTTTCAATTTTTCCCAGTATTTTATTTAGTTTCCGATAATCATTCCGATAAGTTGGCCAATATTTTTGTATTTTACGCAAGTTCACTGGTGGAATTGGTCCGTTTTAGGGTTCAGTTTGTCCTTATTGTGGGATCGCTTTAAGCAAAAATGTGGCCAAAAAACGTGCAATTTTTCCTAGTATAGTGTATCTGTATATCTCATTCCATGATTGTGACATTGCCAAAATGTGGCAAAAACACGTGCAATTTTTCCCCGTGTTTTATTTAGTTTTCCATCAAACAGTGGATTCTTCAGACAAATTGGCCGACGTAGAATTATTTTTTGATCTATATCCCGAATTTGTGCCCGGAATTACAATTTATTTTGAGTCGATATCATTTTCTGGGGAAGATTATGATTTTTTGGACAAATTAATATCCCATTTTTTCTTGGAGAGAGAAATTCCTGTAAAATTGGCAGATTTAGCGTCTCCATTCGTCCAAGTGACGAAAGTGTGGGCCATTTATCACGCCAAGGAGTTAAGTAACCCTCGACTTATCCGAAGAAATGATACGTTCCGTTTCCATCATATGCAACCCGAGCGAAAAACGAACCTAATTTTATACAAGAATTTAACCTTTTTGCACAAATTGACAAAATCCGTGCAAATCGTGGCGCCATTCGGGTTAATGAATCTGTACGAGGATTGCTTTGTGGGGGTAGCGTTGGGGGAAGAAGTGGAATCTGGGGATAGTAAAAGTGTGATGTATGAATCGAATTTGTTTAAGGTGTATCCCAAAATAGGGTTTGACATTGGGGGGGATGAAATCCATAAGTTTTGCTGGTTTCATTGTGACCCTGATAAAGGGTGCAGTATGTGGAAGAAGGTCGCCGATCTGGAGGAAGGGGGGAAAGGATCGAGGTCCAATTTGCATGGGTGAGTTTAGGATATGAACGCGTCAAGTTTTTTTTAGTTATGTTATCAGATTTTTAGAATAACAGGAATGAGAAGGGAAGATCTTGTAGGTCAAAAGGTCATATAACCAGAGGGCGGATTCAAAATATTTCCACGTATTGTCATTCATATTTCTAGATTTTCAGGCACATAAATATTCTCGCTATTATTTGAAAAAGGGACCAAAAACCAAAACCTAACCTAACTCAACCAAAAAAATCTGAAGAATGAAATTCAAAAGTTTCCAAAAATCCTTATTTTTATTATTTTTCGTAACAATTTCATAATTTTGTTTCTAAATATTACTACATATTTCAGCGATTTTTCGTAAATATATATCCGCCTTCTGGCCATAATGTTATATTAATAGTTGGGAATTTTATTGGTTATGACTTTATTTTTTATTTTTTGCCAGGCTGCCAATCCTCGTCGGAAACTCTGACCAAGACGCGGAACACTTTTCTCATTCAGATTTTCCCCTCCACGGCTACGACGACTCTCGCCACACCAACTTTAAGCTAAACTCTGCCGCGTCGCATGCCGTTTACACGTTCGTAAAACGATACAATGGCACCTTATTCTCGTGTAGATGGGGCGTGGGTCAAAACGGGATTCCGAACAGGGGTCCTTGTTCCCGCCGTCGAGATTTCCACCTGGTTTTCAGCCGAAGTCAGCACTCCTTATTTTACTGGTATTTAAACTGGCCGATCGTAATTCGGAAACATTTTTCCGGGGAAGCTTTTACCGCCCAGTTTATCGGAGTTCCAACGCCGGCGACGGGAGGTACGACATTTTTGGAGGCAGAGGTGGGCAAAATATTTTGTAGAAATATTTAGCATTATGCGAGCTTATCCCAGGGTTTGGGGCTGGCATACCCAGTAAAGGATGAAATTTTACGCGAAAATTTAGGTTTTTTAAAGAAATTTAGGTTTTCATTGCTGGTAAAATTAAATTATTTTCCCGATTTTTTTAAAATACAATATTTTGACAGCGATTGAATGTCAGAAAACCAATATTTTCGGGGTCAATTTTGTCTTTTTTCGGGTGTAACAGCCCCGAAAATCTAGACCTTGGGAAGAACGGAGCTCAAAATACTGTATTTTTACAAAATATTTTACCCACCTCTGATTTTTGTAGGCGAAGACGATGAACTTTGTCCTGGTTTATGTCACGTTTGTCGCTCTCATAATTGCGGGAATGTCCTTCCTTTGCGCCAAATATATGAGGAGGATTGATCAGAAAAGGTGGAACTGTTTCCTGTCCTCCTTCTTCCGACCGGTGGTGGCACATCCGGCCAATTTGACCTCTAGTTTAGGTCACGACCTCAAATTTCGAATCTTCTACGTCCCCTGGATAATATTTTGGATGTTGCTGTCCGAAGATTTTAAGGGAATGATTGTCAGCCAGATGACGAAGCCGAGAAAATTGTATTTTCCAGAGGTGGGTAAAATACTTGGTCAAAATTCAGAGTATTTTAAGCTCCGTTCTATCTAGGGTTTAGATTTCCGGAGAGAGTTACAAAGAGACGAAAATCTACTTGGAAAAGGCAAAAATCATGCAAAAATACAGATTTTCTGAAGAAATTAAATTTCTATCAGTGTCAATTTTTTAAAAGTTATGAAAATAGTGTATTTTGACCGGGATAAAAAGTTAATTTCTTCAGAAGTTAGATGTATTTTTGTCAGATTTTGGTCTTCTCGATGTAGATTTTCGTCATTTTGTGGGTCTGGTGCCAGCTAACAGCCCCGGAAATCCAAACCCTGGGGCTCAAAATACGGTCCATTTTGGCCAAGTATTTTACCCACCCCTGACTTTTTCCCCGCAGGATTTCTCCGCCTTAAGTAACTCAAGTTTTCCCACTTTCGCCATTTCGAACCACTCCCAAAGCGTCATCGATTCGCACGAATATCGCTATTTATTAAACAATTCTCGATTTTCCGGACTTCTCGAAACAATCGAGAAACACGCTTGGGAGAAATTCGGATTAATCGGGACGATCCGCGACTCCATGGGGAAAGAAGGGTCGCCAATTTTTGTCGGAAATTCGGGTGAAATTGCCATCGCAAAATTGTACTTTATCCTCGCCCTGGGTCCAGATTCGTATCAGATGTCGAAGCAAATTTTGACCGAAGAAAAAATCTGGATCGTGGTCAACACGCCGTTTGCGGGGGACGTTTTATCAACTTTTGTGGGGTTAACGACCTCCGGAATTACGCAGCATTTAGGGAAGTTGTTCCAACAGAGTGGGTCGGTTCGGTATGTGAAAGAGTATTTTGAGCGGGGGGAATTGCGTGGGGTGAAAAAAAGTGAGGGGGACGGGGGAAGGGGGAAGGGGAAGATGGATTTTGTTAGATTGGCGAATAATTTGGCAGGCAAGATTTTGAAAGTTTTCACAATATTTTGGGCCGGAGTGGAGGCCGCGGGAGGCGTGTTTTTTGTGGAGGGGGTAGTGTTTTATGTGACCTTGAATTATGTCGTGATTGGGGTGGTGGTGATGAGAGGGGGGAGAAAGGTGGGGAGGTTTTGGGGGGGAGTGGGGAAATTTTGTGGCGAATTAGGGAAATTTATGGGGGGACGGGTATCACGTGGGGTTAGGTGGGTTTGGTCGGGTTGGGGGCGGGGCAATAATTCGGATAAGTTATCATCTCTCACACTTAATTCCACGACGTTATTGTCAGTCGAAACAATAAAAGAAGATAAGATAAGAAATAAGATAAGTCAAGTTATCACCGTGGACCAAACATGATAAGAGTAAAAAATTGTAGGATTATTTATGATTTATGTGAGATGAGAATTGCGTCTCGTTTTTTAAGATTCTTTTTTATTATTTGGTGATATCAGACGCTGTTAATTTATTTACTGATTTATTTTCTTATTTATAACAATTCAGGTTGTGTGCAGTTTTTCTCTTATATTTGTAATTAAGATTCTGTTTATAAACGAAGTGATTTCGTAAAAAATTCGTGAATTATTTCTAAAGTAGTTCTGAATATTTATGAAAACTTATAAATACGGAGACAAAAATTTGAATTTTAGAAAAAGTTTACGGAAGTTTGAAAACACATCTACTTCGAAACTTGTGAGATGAAAAAGCCGAAAACGAATAAATAAACCGTTGCAAACGAAATGTAGCAAACGGTTGAAGCGACACGGTCACACGGTCATGGGTCATGGCACGTCAAAACCAGGTTGATTAATGAAATTCCGCCCAAAACTACGTCTAAAAAGGGCGAAATAAAAAATTCGACATTTTTGACCGTTGGCGTCATCACCTTGGCGCCGTGACCTTATGACCTTATGATCTTCGAACTCATCCGTACATAAAAAAAATTAGAAACACGTTGGCCAAAACCTCATGTCGAAATTCGAATCCGTTCTAAACTTATCATGGACACAGATGGACGGACAGACAAGACATAAAGGGATTTCACCTCTTAATATAGTCAGAAAGATAAGGGAAGTTATCACGGTGGAGCTAATGTGATAAGAGTAAAAAGTTGTAGTAATTGTAATTCATGTGAAAATAGTTTTTTTTACAAAAAAAATATTTTCGAATTATTTGTTAATAATTAGACGCCGTTTATTTAATTTATGATTTATTAAATTTTAAATGAAAATCTAGATCGCGTACCATTTTTGTTATAAAGGAAGCGTTTTCTCCAAGAAACATTGGAATTTTTTAAATAAAATGAGGATTTTTTATAAATGATTAAAGCATTTATATTTCTGAAAACCTAAAAATATTGAGGCAAAAATTGTAATTTGAGAAAATAATTTGAGATTTACAAAAGTTTGCTTAAAACTTGTGGGATTAAAAAGTCGAAAATGAATAAATAAGTAGACCACGTTTGATCAATGGCCGCAGAAGTGTGGGGAAAATGTCCCCATGATTATTTGATGTCCTCATCATCTGCCCCCCTTCCAATGGAAATGTCCCCACGGCTTCTGTGGTCTATGCATTTAATAATTTATAATTGAGGTTGAAGAATATTCCATCCTTTTTTTGTTAACGAATAATTAAAATACATAGATTTTATTTTATGGGAGTAAAGACTTACAATAAAATTAATTAAAATTTAATTAATTAATTAATTAATTAATTAATACGCGATAATTTCCGCTATCCAGGCACGATACTTTTCCACCGATGTGAAATGACTGATGGGTTCGGAATCTTGGATTTCTTCGTAGCTCATCACTCCCTAAATTTAATGGGTGGTTAATAAATAATGACATGAACATTATTACGCACCCTGTATTTTGTACCTTTAATGAATATCTGGACCCAAACCGTGTCTTGGTCAGAGTGACGAATGCACCTCCGGTGTCAACTTGTCGGACAGAATTTCCTGGAAATTTTTTTTATGTAATTTGCATATAAAGTTTGCATAAAATGGTTAATTAATTACAATTTCGCAGGTAATTAATTTTTAAATTCAAGCTCTATAATTTTTCTAACAAATCGTTTTACATCCAAATATTGACGAAATAGTGACAAAATTTCAGGGTTGGCCAAGATACTTTGTTTCAAAGATACAAGATACAAGATACAAAATATTTGAACGAAACCTTAAGATACAAGATACTAAATACAAATAAATAGTTACACAAGATACAAAATACAAGATAGATTTTATCTGCTGTAATCCCAGATACAAGATAAAAGATATTTATTTGAAATAATTTTTTCAAGATACAAGATAAATTATTCTGAGCTTGCAAAGAAACATGAAATAACGAAGCACCGCTTGATTTTTTGTATTGAAGCCGAGTAACTTGTTAATAATGATAGAACAGACTCATAACTTGCATTGTAATTTATAATGCAAGTCCTCACCCTCTATTTACAATTTATAAACAAATATGAGGATTTCATCTGTGGTGACCCATGCTGATTTTTTTAAATTATTCTATGGAACTGAAATTATTATTACCAGTATATTCAGTTGAAATTTGGAATAATTGCTCTAATGGTGGTACAAATTAGGAATATAATGCAAATGACAAAATTTGCCAACATGCGAAGGTTTATTTACTGTGGATAAATAAATATTACGACGTTATACAACCGAACCTTGCGTCCGGCTCGGCAAAGCTGTACACTGAGGTTTTTAAATCTTCATAATTCCAAGTTTTAATACTACCAAATATGCAAGTTTCCCGGTTTTTCACTAAAAAAGTATCTTGTATCTTGACTAGTATTTCAAATAAAATACGGTTGAAATAAATTCTCCAGATACAAGATACAAGATACAAAATACTTTTGCGAAACGTTCAGATACAAGATAAAAGATAAGATAAACTCCGTTACACAAGATACAAGATAAAAGATATATCTTGTATCTTGTATCTGATATCTTGTATCTTGTTAAATTATCTTGGCCAACCCTGCAAAATTTACGAATTTTAAATTTTTTGAACATACATTTTTTTCAAATAATAACAGAAATAAAATGAAAGGTTTAATATTTTGAATTTTTCCGGAAATTGATTTTTAGTCTGAATCTCGAATATTTTTGTAATTTTTTAAAAATAAATATAAATAATAGTATAAATATTATTTCAATATTTTATTATTAATTTTAAGTATAAGAAGGTTTAAATACCTAATTAAAATTTCAAAAATTTGAAAATAAATATGTAAAACAGGAGACATATTTAGAAATTAGTACCCTGCTTGTGCCCCACGCATTGGAATTGGGCTGCCGTCGTGACGCCAAAAGTATTCGTGACACATGCCATTTCTGCGACGGAAGGGAAGTTGTGAATGTGGAGACCCGTTTGTGCAAAGGAAATCAGGCTCGAAGGTTCGGAAGGGTTGTTCGGAAGTGCGGCGATTTTCTGTTAGTAATGTTTTTAATTTGCATAAATTTTTTGCACAAATTTTGGCACGCATTTTAAATATTTAGCTCACATTATCGATGCTATACTTATCTAGGAAACAGGCGGGGCGAATCAAGGCACCGAACGGTAAGGGTCGTTTGAGCTTGATGAGGGCGATATCGGCGGATCTGGATTTTCTGTCAAATTCGTCGGGTCTCCAGACGTTGTCAATCTGAATAAAAAGATTCCAAATTTTCATACAAAAACTTAGGAGTCGATGGCGCTTCGCCAAAATCAGCACATTTATAAAGTTTTCTCGCCTTTGGGAATTTGTTTTAAAATTCTGGATGATAAATTTGAAGAGCAGAGAGTTTCCAATTTTAAAAAAATGTGCACTCCAGATTTTGACACTTTTTGAAGGAGAAGATCTCAAGTTTAAGAAGCCTTCAGAAAAATTGGAACTCGTCGAAACTGGGTTAAAGAATTCAACGCCATTCCATTAATCAACTCATCGATGGCAAATTTGTCGTCCAGAATTTTAAAATAAATTCCCAGAGCGAAGAAATGATTTAAAATGTGCTAACAATTTTGGCGATAAGTCATATACGAAAATTCTGGACGACAAGTGGGTGAATTTTTAAAGCCGTTTCGACGAATTCCAAATTTGCTGAAGGTTTTATGAACTCGAAATCTCCTGCTTCAAAAAGTGTCAAAATCTCGAGTGCAAATCTTTAAAAAATTTAGAAAAGAATTTTAATAAAGAAAGAACGTCCAGAATTTTAAAAAATAAATTCCCAAATATTTTAGTATTTACGTCCGTAATGAAGGGTCGATCATGGTTCAAATTTTCCGAGAAATTTTTTCCCACCGCGGCGCCCACAACTTTGAAAGATTTGAGAGACGCGTTGGGCTCAAAGCAGGAGCCGGCAGTGATTAAATATTTTGTCGAAATTATGGTAGCTCCACAAGCAAATTTTATTTTTTGCGTGGAACGATCCAAGTTGAAAAGTAGTGTGTGCCACGGGAGGACGATGGCGTCGTTTTTGGTGAAATTTGTCCCGGAGAAAGTTATCTTTTCATTGATGATGCCACAATCTGCAAAAAAAATCGATGGATTTACGAAAAATGTGAAAATATTTATTTGCAAAAATTGGTGAAAATATTAATTTTCAGAGATTTAAAAAACACGGTATTTATATATGCAAAAAAATTCAAACTATTTACAAAAAATCAGAAAAACATTTATTTTCGGCAGGTATTATTTGAAAATTAATTAACAAATTTATGAAAAATTGACAAAATATTTTTTAAATCGGAAAAATAGGAAAATTTGCATATATATTTTTTAAACTTTTACAATATTTGATGGATTTAGGAAGAAAATGGCAAACTGTTTTCACGAATATTGCAAAAATGAGAGTTTTAGACATTCATTTCCAAAATTAAGTCAGAAATTCGAGCATTTACATATATTTATATCATATTGTTATTATTACTAATTGATTATTTATTCGTAAAATTTTGGTAACGTAATTTTTTTGCCTAATATCTCCGAAACATTGGCAAAGTTTTTTTTTTAAGATATTTACGAAATTTGGATATTTATGAAAAATACGGAATTTAAAACATATTATGGATTAGATTAAAGTCGAAAACAAATAAATCAATCATTAGCAATAATCTGACATAAAAATTAGATCGACGGAATGGTTAGTATAAGGTAGAGTTAATTAATAATTAATTTATAATTGGCTAATAATTGATTAATAATTAATTAGCAACATAAATACTTAATTACAATTAAAATAAATAATAATTAATTACTAATTAATTAATTACCTGGTTCACACTGCATTTTGACGTTTGCGTCACTCCATTTTCCATCTTCGTTGCATTGCTGTTCTAATCGTGACTGGATTTGTGTTGATTTATGGAAGGGTTTGCATTTTGAAATTGCAAACGTTCCTTCCGGAATGAAAGTGCAATTTGCCAAGGCGTTCCTATTCAGGGTGACGTACTCGATTTGGACGCCCTTCATAAAATCAAGGTAAATGTGACAAACTAATGAGGTATTGACAGTTTATGTGATTGGAAATGGTTTATATTTATGAAAAAAAACGATGGAAAAATATATTTCCGAAAAAAATGTGAAAATGTAAATTTCGGAAATTTTGGGCAAATTATTACATATAGGCTTATATTAATATAACTCTATGCATATAGGAGATTCTAATTCATTTTTTTGTAGTGCAATTTTTGTTGCATTTTTTGGTTTAAATTATGGAAATAAGGGTAGAAGAGTTTACTTGTTTTTGAAAACAATAGATGACAAATTTGCAAAATATTGATATTTTGAAACAAAAAAAAATCGTGGAAAAATATTGAACTATATTTCTGAAAAAAATGTCGGGGAATTTTGTTGCCAAATTGTTTAATATTTTTATAATTCATTTTTTATAGTAAATTTTTGTAGTAAATTTTGTTTCGTTTAAATCTTGAAACAAATACTTGAGAAATATTGATAGAGGATTAAGATTAAAAGTATTTTTGAAAAGCTAAGAAGTGAAAATTTTACAAAATAATGATATTTGGGAATCCATTTTTTGAATTTTTTGATGCTCTATTTGGACATAATTTTTGAAAAAATGGTTGACACATTTTCACAAGAAGCACATGTCTTGAATTTTTTGGACCACACTTTAAATTCGAAAATAAATAAATTGTGACGTACGTCTGATTCGTGAATTGATGGGCAATGTTGCTGCTGGGGGAGGGAATTATCTTTGGAAATGTGTCTCGAACTCCGCGACCCTGCGATGATGATTTCCCTATTGCACAAAATCGGGCTTTCATCCGAACCTTGGTCACAGTCTCGAACGCCGTCGCAAATCCGCTGCTTGGAAATGCATCCGCCCCCGCCCAAATTGCACTGATGGAGGGAAGGGTCCCCTCCACAGGTGCGGTTTATGTCGCAGAGAACGTCATGCTCGTCCGAATCGGTGTCTTCCAAGCAGTTCCGAACCGAATTGCAGACCGATTCGAGGGGGATGCAGGTCCCGTCGAAGCAGGAAAAACTGAATGGGCTGCACCTACGTATATAAAGGTATCAGTAATTAGAAGATGAAAAATTCGCGAATTTTGGACCAGTGACCGCGGAAGTTGTGGAGACATGTGGGTACATTAACAATTAACATTGTAGGGCGGGGTTTATATAAGATGGGCAGATGATGGGGACATAGAAAAACCGCGGCCACTGTTTTGGACTGTAGCGCAAAAACTCGTAATGTACCCCCCAATATTATTAAGAATTCTTTTTGCATAGAAAAATTACGCAAATTTTAAGTGTAAATATACATGAAAATCGTTTGAAGATGAAAAACCACGATCTCATCGTATACATATTTCTAGATAAATAATTAGTTTGAGAACTGTATGAAAATCGCTGCTGCGAAAATTTGCACATTTCCCAGAAAAATGTTCTGTTTTGCAGATGAGAGATGACAAATTTTTCACAAGTTTAAGAAAAATATCTACGTATGTATTTTACTCCGTAATGTGCATGAAATTTGTGAAGAGCTAATTCTGCAAAAAATATTTTGCACATATTCGCCCTTTGTGCAGTGAGAGTTTACAAATTTGATCTTCTTCATAATGTGACGAAATTTGCAAATTTTTTACAGTTAATTTTCTTATATCTAAAAAAACTCAATTTTAGAAAATTTTAAAAATTTGTATTCGTCATATTTTATTCAAGAAAATGTTTTGTTTTTTTGAGTTTAACTTATTTAAATAAAATACATAACCTAATCATATTGATGTCATTAAGGTTTAAATAAAAAATTTATTTTGGCGTCTTCAGCTTACATATTTCTGAAAAATCGTAGAAATATTAACATCGTCACCTATTTTTAAAAAAACGGTATGTGAATAGGGTACTTTTTGCCAAATTTTTAAGTTGAGTATAAACAAAAATTGTTGTTTTTCTTAAAGATGATTATGCATGTTATTATTATTTAAAGCTTTTTTAATTCTATAATATTTACTAAATATTTACGAAAAGTGAAAAAATATGAATTTTAGGCATCGTATATTATGAAAATTTTAGAAATAGATACTTCTTTTATATTCGTCATGTTTTCTTTACTTCAAGAAAATGAGTTTTTTTGGGGGGCTAGATTTTAAATTAGGAAGGAAAGAACAAAATCTAAGAATATTAATATTCTATAAAATTTTAAATCAAAAATAAATTTTGGCGTCTTCATATTCAAGTTTTTTCTTGTTGAATTTTTTATATAAAAATAATTATTATTGAATAATTTAATATTTTAAATTCAAATTTTTGAATTTATATGTGAGCTCGCCAACTAAAAAATCTACATTCTAATTGAGGAAATGTTACAAAAGTTTACGAATTATTACGCAGTGAAATTGTGTAAATTTGTGGAAAATTCTGTACCTCTCTGTTCTGCAGAATGTAATGAAATTTGCAAATTTGTTACAGTGTTAATTTTTTCATGTCTACTAAAGAACCTCAAACTTTTCCTAAATTTGCGGAAAATTCCGAATGTCTGTTCTGCAAGACGTGACGAAATTTGCAAATTTTGTTACAGTCATGTTTTTCATATGTAAAAAAACATGAAACCTTTTTCAAATTTTGCAGAAAATTATGCACTTCTTTGGAATAACGACTCCCACTACCAGCAGCGAGCTTATCCCTGTTTTGCGTGATGTTTGTGCGTCAGAAGAATGAGCAGGATGAACTACGAAATCCTCTTTGTAATAATGATGTGAACAACAAACGGATGATTTCTATTAATAGCAACACCCAAATTTATTGTCACCAACTAATTTCTTATTAATTTGAACAACTATTAATTTTGCACAATGCTGCCGAATTACAATTCTACTACTACTCTCCTCGACAGCTACATTACGACTTAACTGCTACTAAAAAACTCCCCTTCTTCTCAAGATCAAGTTCAATGTCACGTACATGCCGTCTCCTTTCTCTTCCAACTCATCAACCGGCATGTTTAAGTATTTGGGGCAAAATAATACATTTTAAAATGCGAGAAAATAAATACATATACATTCATGTTATGCAAAATCCTCCCACCTCTTTTGTGACTGAAATACGAGCAAAAGACTGCATAAATTCAATTAAATTCAACATTCATAAATAAAATAAATTTTCTATTGATCTCTAAATCTTATTGGTCGTTGCACCATCCGTCCTGATCTGGTTTGCACTACTGGTAATGTCGCAATTGATTGATTGTTCGTTTGATCTGGCATGTTGCTCTTTGCGATTTTCTGAATCGTAGCTGGAACGTCTGGCAAATTGGCTTCACTTGAGATCTCCAAAGGAAATAAGCGTTGTAGCGGACGGGTCAGGACACCGCTCGTCGTCTTCACCTTGGCGACACGACAGACGCCATCCGTACCGGCAATCAACTCTACGATACGTCCCATGGGCCATTCCAACCTTTTCCGGTTATCACTTCCGATAAGAACAACTTCTCCCTGTTGAAATCTGTAGTGCGACTTCTCTCTCTGCTTTTGCACCAGAAGTCCGAGGTACTCTTTTCGAAATCTTTGTTGTAGTTCTCGTCTCAGCGTCTGCATCTCTCTATATTTTGATCTTAAGTCTTCTTCATCCAATGTTCTCATCTCGGGAAAATTTGACTCTCTCTGACTCTGTATGAACATTGCGGGTGTCAGGGGGATGAGGTCGTCTGCGTCCTCTCTCACGTAAGTTAGGGGTCTCGCATTGATGATTCCCTCCACCTCACAAAGACATGTAATTAACTGTTCCTTATTAAGACGAGATTTACCCAGCATCCTCTTCAACAAATCTTTGACACTCCGAATGAGTCTTTCCCAGAAACCTCCCCACCATAGACCTGAAGGAGGATTGAATATCCATTGGATTTTCTTCACCATTGCTGTTGACTCTATCTTTTCCCAATTTAACTTCTTGAATAGATTGTCTGCTCCCACGAAATTCGTCCCATTGTCTGAATAGATGGTCGTGGGTCGTCCTCGCCTGCTCACAAATCTGGATAAGGCCAAAATAAACTCTTCCGTTGAGCAGGCTGTCACCAACTCTAAGTGTACTGCGCGGAACACGGCACACGTAAATAAGACGATCCATACTTTCTCTCCGCATTTCAAAACCAATGGGCCTGCAAGATCAACTCCCGTTATCTGAAGCACCGTGGCGTCTTGCACTCTTCTGCTTGGTAGTGGGGCTGATTCGACATCTTGCTTCTTTAATGCATGCCTTCTGCACCTTACGCAACTTGTTACAACTTTCCTTATTGACTTTCTTGACTGCAATATCCAATATTTTTCTCTCAATTGACTCATTAAATACTGGATCCCGGCGTGACCATTCTGCATATGTTCCTCTCTAATTATCTGCGTCACGAACGGGTGCGAATGAGGAAGAAGGATGGGTAGACGAAAGTATTGTTTGTCCTCTCTGTTAATTAACTTCGTCTCAACAACTATCAATCCATCTTCTCCTGTCTTGACTTTCACCGTGCATTTCTTTTTCCATCCGTCGTCGCTGTTGAATGCCTCATTCTGGATTAGTCTGAGCACCCTTTTCTCTGCATTCCATATTTCTTGTTGGCTCAGCTTTCCAGATTCTCTATTCTTCTTTCTACATTTGTCCACAAATCTGAGACACCACGTGACGAGTCGGATATTTTTGGGGGCGGATGAGTACCGCGTTGCGTACGACGGCGTCCTTACCTCCAATGACACGATAGCTACACTTGTTCTTTTCTGCTCTTTTTCACACTTTCCTCATCTGTAATCTCTTCACAGGTTGGCCACTCTTCTCTCGGTTTACGTAACCACTCCGGTCCCTCCCACCAACGACTGTCTAATAATTTCTTCGGGGTACAGCTTCGGGAAGGAAGGTCGGCTGGGTTTTGCTTTCCTGGGACATGTGACCACTCTTGGGGAGACGATAGCTTGCATATCTCTTTCACTCTATTTCCGACGAATGTCCCCCACTCACTATTTCTCTTCACCCATGCTAGGGCAGTACTGGAATCTGTCCAGTAATATTTGGGGACGTCTTGCAACGACATCGCTTCCACCACGGTCATCATCATCCTGGCCAGTATTACGCATCCTAACAACTCTAATCTTGGTATTGTGGTGGTGGGTCGGATGGGAGCCACTCTAGACTTGGCCTGTAGCAAATGACATTTGACACTCCCACCGTACTCTACTCGAATGAAAACTGCGGCCGAATATGCATTTTGGCTTGCATCTGAGAATCCATGCAGCTGGATACTTTCTCCTCCAAATGCGAAGCGTGTAATGCGCACTCTCTCCAATAATTCGGCCTGTTCCCACCACTCACGAAATTCCTTTTCGATCTTCTCGTCCAGTTTCTCATCCCACGTTTTGCTTGTTTTCCAACTTCTCTGTAATAATATCTTCGGGATGATGGTTGCTGGACTTAAATATCCCATACGGTCGAAAATACTCTGCGTGTGCGACAACAACTTCCTCCTAGTCATCTTCTCCGGTAGCTCACTCTTCGGTATGTTGATGTGTAGGCAATCTTCTGCTTTATCCCACGCCATGCCAAGGACACTCGTCGTCAAATGAGAGGAGTAGTCGCTGCCTGGTCCAAGTAGGCACTCACTACACTCCCACTGACGGAGTTCCATGCTGGCGGAGGCAAGAAGTTTGACCGCTTTTCTTCTCAATTCTTCTAAATCTTCCACCGAATTAACTGAAGTAACGAGGTTATCCACGTAGAGGGATTTCGCCACCATGATTGCTGTCTCTCTATCCTCTGGACTTGCAGATTCCAAGTGAAGTCCGATTACAGCCCCCAGCAGGAAAGGGCTGCTATTTACGCCAAAAACGACGCGACGATGTCTGTAAATCTTCACATCTCTTCTCTGGTGTGGATCCTTCCACCACAAAAAGCGGAGGTAATCTCTATCCACGGGATCCACCAAAATCATTTGAAATGCTTTCCGGATGTCCGCGATGACTCCTATTTTCTTTTGCCGGAAGCGTAGAAGAAGAGACGGAATGAGCTCGAGTAAGTTGGGACCCTTCTCGAGACAGTCGTTCAATGAAGGATTTCTCCCAGTTTTGCAAGAGGCGTCAAAAACTGGGCGTACCGGAGTGGTCAAGCTATTCGGCTTAAAAACGGGATGGTGGGGCAGATAGTGGATTCTTGAATTCTTCTCTTCTTCCTTTACTTCCTCAATGAATCCTTCTGCCTCCCATGGCTTGAACAAATCTCCGTACTCTGCGATCTTCCCTTTTTCCAACAATTTTCTGGTGCCAGACATAAGCCTCTTCTCTGCAACTGAACGGTTGTCTGGCAAAGTTGGATTCTCGACTATCCACGGAAGACGAATTGAATATCGACCCTCCTCATTTCTTGATACTGTTTGTTTAAACTTTTTGATAGTTTCTTCTCCTCTCTCGGTTTCATTCTTCATTTCTGCCGGATCCATAATTCCCAAACTTTCCAAACTCCACAATGACGTAATGGATCCTTGACATGCGAGAAGAGATAGAGAAACTGCTGCTGAACTTCTTCCTTCCGGTCTTCTTCCGGATAGCGCCCACCCCCACACATACTGAATAGCAGTAACCCCACAATCAAGTGACTCAATGTGCCCGGTCATCAGCATCCCTTCATAATCATTTCCAACTAATATCTCGATTTCCGGGTTGTTTGATTGTAAATCTGAAACTCTTATCTGTTTTTGAGTTAACTGCTTCATCCACTCCCCTCTCGGTATACGCGGAATAAATCCCACGATCTCCTCTTCATCATGAGCGAGAAGTGTTCGCGTGTTGCGTCCACTAAGGTCAGCAATCCTCAGTTGGTAATTGTGGTGAAGTCGTTCTGCGGTCACTCCCCCTCTGTACACCATCTTCGATTGTTTGAAGGCGCCGACAGACTTCAAATTTAACGACTTTATTGTGTCCTTCCTGACGACAGTACGGTGTGCGCCTCCATCAAACAACAATCTTACTACTTATCTACTACTACTTATCCTCCACTGTTGTCGTACAGCCGCACCAATAACGTTCTTGACAATACTGCGCCAGAGCATTCTTGACTTGCCATCGCACTTGAAGAGGAACCTCTCTATTCTCCTTGGTCATCTCTCGCCGCCCTCCCTATCTCCATATTTCTGTTGGACGGGTGGTCATAACACATAATTGAGTGATGACGTCTGTTGCAGATTCCACATTGTACCTTGGTCTTGCAAGCCGATGTACGATGTCCAATTTTGAAACAGACCAGGCACGCTTTCTTTTCTCTGAGCTTGTCCCCTTTTTCCTTATAATTCATCTTCTGTGCTGAGTAGCATGATTGACCGGAGTGACCTCTTCCACAAAATGTACAGGCTGAGTTTGGACTGGAACTTGCAAATAATCCAGCCGCGGTGGCAACTTCCTCCTTGCGAGGTGATTTCTGACTTGCTTGACGTTGCGCACCTTTCTTCTTCTCCTTTTCTCCACTCGCCTGTTCAATCTTCCATTCGCTTTCCACTTCATCTTTCAGGAACTCCAACATGCACTCCAACTTTGATTTTGAGGGGACAAGGTTTCCTCCATTTACTTTTGATAATGGAGAACGGAACCACGCTGTTAGGGTCTCTTTGGGCAAACTCTTCACGATCATCGGGACAAGATATTGGGACGATTCTTCTGACTTGACTCCGAGTGATTCCAAACTTTGTAATTGAGTTTGCAGACTGACAAAGAATTTTGATAATGGACCCTTATCCTTATTGAAAAGCAGCTCCGCTAAATCCGTCATGTACATTGAAATCAACATGTCCTTCTTTCCATATTTTTCTTTTAACATGCTGATGGCCTTTTGATAATTTTCCGGTATTTTAGGAAAGCTTGATACTATTTCCGCCGCTTCTGTTCCACTTTCCAATGACTGTACCAAATACCGAAACTTGTCTGCTGTTGAGATGGACGTGTCTGTATGTATTTGATTGAAATACGTCCACCACTCCAACCAGTTCCTCATCTTCCCATCAAATTTTTGCAAATCGCATTTTGGCAGCTTTACTCTTCTCTCCCCCCCACTTGATGTGAGGCTGTTGGCACTTCCAACCGGCGAATCAGGTCGTCTGGAGCAGTTGTCGCGATTTTCATGCGCAACGTCAATTCGACGACTTCTTCATTGATCTGACGCCACTTTCTCCTACTTTCGCGAAACTTTTCCTCCAGATTCTTCTTCACATAATAATCCAAAACTTGACCCGCAAAATCTTCACTTTCATCTAATAACTGCTGAATAGTTTGTAATTTGGGATTTAGAAGTGCTTGATTTGGCTGCTCCTTTTCTAACTCCAGATTTGCAATATTCATATCTTCTTTCAATAACTCCAACGCCACCTTTCTTCTCATTTTGACTTGGGTGATGGGAGGAGACAACGGTTGAATTAACGGTCGTGGACTCATGGGGACATGTGAGGATTCAACATCTTCAGGATTGGGAATGAATTCTCGCTCCATGTCCTCCTGTCGCAGACCTCTGTTCATGAACCACATCTTTTAGAATTAATTCTCAAATTATTATAATGGGAACGGTATGACCTGGTTTTACTCCCGTCCGGTGGGAGTAAACCTCTACGTATTTGACGTGTCGATTTACAGCACGACACCGGCCTTTCCGCTGTTTCCCTCTGGCGCTGGGACCTTGTTGATCTCCTTCGGCGATTGTGACGTGTCCAGTCCTCCTCTCCTTTTATGAATTGGGATGACCAGACCGTCTTCTCTTCTTATAATCTCAGGATCAACACACCCAACAAACGATACCAATTAGTGGTGCAAATAATCAATTCCGAACGATACCGACCTGGAGATGCTGCCTTTAGGGCGACAGCAAACCGCTCGTACTTCTTTTTTAACAAATCTCCTGTCGTTGATAACGAGTCCTCGCCTCCCACCGTCTGCACTGGGCCACAGCTGGGATGACGATTCTGCTTCTTCTTCTGTGATCGTTCTTGCACAAACGATCACGTCGAGGTCACCATTAATTTGGGATGACGGCTCCCACTACCAGCAGCGAGCTTATCCCTGTTTTGCGTGATGTTTGTGCGTCAGAAGAATGAGCAGGATGAACTACGAAATCCTCTTTGTAATAATGATGTGAACAACAAACGGATGATTTCTATTAATAGCAACACCCAAATTTATTGTCACCAACTAATTTCTTATTAATTTGAACAACTATTAATTTTGCACAATGCTGCCGAATTACAATTCTACTACTACTCTCCTCGACAGCTACATTACGACTTAACTGCTACTAAAAAACTCCCCTTCTTCTTAAGATCAAGTTCAATGTCACGTACATGCCGTCTCCTTTCTCTTCCAACTCATCAACCGGCATGTTTAAGTATTTGGGGCAAAATAATACATTTTAAAATGTGAGAAAATAAATACATATACATTCATGTTATGCAAAAACTTCTTTCTTCTGCAAAACCGGAAGAAAATTTGCAAATTTTGCTACAATTAAGTTTCTCATACATATGTAAGAAAAAAAAGAACCTCAAGCTTTTTTCGATCCATTCATTGGCCGTGGAGAGTCTGGAGTTGAAGTAGACGGTGTCGTTTCGACAGAGGCCACCTTTTCGGCCGCGAACGTACGTCGTCAGACCGGCGAGATAATATTGATGACCGATTTTTGTCGTTACGGCGCTTCCCTGCATTAGGCATCCGGTCGGTGGAGAGATTCCAGAATCTGAAGCGGAATTAACAGAGGGCGGATATGTATTTACATATGTACGACAAAATAGAGTTCAAAACATTAATTCAAAACTAAATTAAAGAATAAAAATGGGCCAAAAATTGCTAGAATATGTCTTTAATATTTACGAAAAAGGAGTAAAATATTTGCGAAATATGTATGTACTAAAAAACTAAAAATGAGCATTTTCACACAAAGCTTCTGCTTTCGAAATTACATTCAAAGCTAAATTCAAATGTGCGAAAAATTGCTGCGATACTTATTAAATATATTAACGAAAAAAAGGCTTAACATATTTGCGAATTGCGTCTCAAATCGGTGAAGTGTTGACAAAATAATATACATATATTGAAAAAGATTTCCGTCTTTTTTAAATAATAGCGAGAATATTTAAATGTCTGAAAGAAACCCCAGAGATATGTGACAAAATGTGGAAGGTATTTTGAAAATTTGTAAGAGTTATGGAACACACCGACAAAGTTTGATGGTCGGTCGTCATCAATGCAAAAGGTGGAAATGAATGCATATCCGCCCTCTGCTCATTGCCTTAATTAACTTATTTAATTATAATTATTTAACTAACTAAATTACTAACTTGGAACTGGGGGAGGCATCACGGCACAAAACATTCCGACGGGAAAGACGCCGCCGCCGTAATATTTTTCATAACTTTTGACACAATTGTAGCCCATGACGGTCTGGACGAAGTGGACCTGCAGCCCGGCGTCATCCTCGCCGGGAAAAAGCCCGCCTTTATTTCCCGCCTGTTTCAATTTGAGGAAACCGCCATGTAAAAATTCCCCCTTTCCGCCGGGGTTCCGCCCAAGTTGGAAGTGCGGGAGGCAGATCGATTTGACGAAGGGGGTCGAGAAATCCAGCGTAGTTTTTAAGTGAAACATGACAAAGTGAAAGTCTCTCTGGGAACTTTCCTGTGTTATGTAGGGTTCGATGAAGGAAACCTAAAAAGAGAATATTTTAGGAAATTTTTATATGAAATTTTGTTAAGAAACGTGATTTTTTAAAAAGTTTTGTGAAACGTTTTGTGAAAGTTTTGTGAAAAATTTTTGTTACAAAAACAAGTTTTTATGAAATTTTGCTGTAAAACGTTTTATTTTTTTAAATAACCTTTTTTAAATGACATTTTTTGCTTGAAGTTTGATGTAAAATACGTTTTTTATGAAATTTGTATTGCAACATATTATTTTTGCAAGGAATTGTTTTGTTTTTCAAAAAATTTCGTTCGTTAAAAATATTTACTCTGTATGAAATTGTGTTGCTAAAATGTTTGCTGTTCACATAATTTTGTTGCAAAAAATATATATTTTTAGGGAATTGTGTTTGAAATTCTTTGTTTTTTCAGTAAATTGTGTCACAAATTTTGTTGATGTAGCTTTGTTTCAAATTTTTTGTAAAATGCATTTAAAAAAATTTTACATAATTTTTTTGCATATTTTCATGGAACTGTGTTATAATTTGTAAAATGTAATTTTTAATGACATTGTGTTGCAAAAATGTTTGATTTTCAGGGAATTTGGTTGCAAAAATAGCACATCTTTTCATGTAATTGAATGAATACCTCTGCAAATTGTGAGTGTTTATCGGCGTGGTGTCCACTCAAATTTCCGGAACGTAAACCGACCCCGACTAAAAAGTTTTCAGGACCCGAATTTCTCCCGGGTTTTATCCTTTTCGCAAGTTTTTCTAGCGGAGACGTGAACACGGTGAGGATCGTGGTTGGAGAGAGGATAGTTCCCGTGGCGTGGAGGGCAAATCCGCCCCCCACGGTTTTTAGATAGATGCCCGCCGTCCATGGAATTTGCGTCCGAGTGTCGCCCGGTATTTCTTCAATTAGGCCGCAGTCATCTGTACACAAATTTATGACGGTATTTTTGAAAATTGAAAGTTTCTGAGGATGAACATACACTCAAAATAAGGTAGTAATGAATCATTACCATGCGGAATGACTATGTGGCTCTACCACGTCGGTTACGATTTGTCGTAGAAATGGTAATAATAAGTTCAGGGAAATTCAAATTTAATACATAATGGTATTCACTTCCTTAATATTTGGTAATGAATTTGAATTTCCCTGAAATTATCATTACCATTTCTACGACAAATCGTAACCGCCGTGGTAGAGCCACATAGTCATTCCGCATGGTAATGATTCATTACTACCTTATTTTGAGTGTACGTCTAGGTATATTTCTGAAAATCCTACTATAAAATTTGTTTTTTTAATGAAATTTGAAATATTTATTATTAGCCCGCAATTATCTGTACACAAAATTTATGATGGTATTTTTGAAAATTGAAAGTTTCCGAGGACGAATATATGCATATATGTTTCTGAAATATTGTGAACTAAAATTTGTTGTGTTTATGAAATTTGAAATATTTATAATTAGTCCGCAGTCATCTGTCATCTGTACGCAAATTTATGGCGAATTTGAAAGTTTCCGAGGATGAATATACGTATATTTCTGAAAAATCCTCACCTGATTTTTTTTTATGAAATTTGAAATATTTATTAACTTCCTAAGTATTTTCTGGTATAATAATTTCACGAGGACGAGTATATATTTCAAAAATAGTTATTTTATGTTTCTTATTTTCAAAACTAAAATTTTCAAAATTTCTTATTTTCAAAATTTTCAAATTTATTTGAAGAAAATGCGTTTTTTAGCCCAAATTTGAGAAGCTAACCATGAAGCCATGTGATCCGATGTTATTAATTGTATTAAATTGTACATAAAAATATATTTTGGCGTCTTCGTCATTCAAATTTGAACAATTTTTTTTCAATGAATTTTTTATCGATAAAAAAATTATGAGCTAACTTTAATGTTTTGCAAGATACAAATTTTGGATTTTATATATGTGAACTCGTTAGTTAAAAAATGTGCATTTTAATTGAGAAAATGTTACAGTTTTTGAACTGAAACGTAAAAAAAAACTTTTTCTAGTATTTTTCAAATTATTATTTGAGTATGCGCAAAAATTGTAAATTTCTGAGGACGAATCTGTAATTATGAAAAAGCTTTTACTTCAAGAAAATGAATTTTTTATATGGAGATTTTGAATCCCTCAGTCGACGTGGGATCTTAATATGTTTAATGGAGTAAATTGTCAGAAAAATATATTTCGGCGTCTTTACCGTACAATTTTGAACAAGTTTTTTCAAGTGAAATTTTGTATCAATACAAAAACTCATTTTTTTCGAATGAAAATTTTGGATTTTATGTATGTGAACTCGTTAATTAAAAAATTTACATTTTAATTGAGAAAATGTTTATGAAATATTGACGAAGAGAAACGTGAAAATTATGAATGTTTTTCTTATTTCTGTCCCAATAATTATTTGAGTATAAAGAAAATTGTAATTTCCTAAAGATGAATACCTATGTTTGTATTTATGAACAATTTTGAAAAATTTATATTATATTCCATATTTTCAAATCATTTACTTGAAGAAAATGGATTTTTTATCAGAAAATTTGTTTCCATCAACTAGAGTGAAAATTCTCTATCTTGGTATGTTGATAGTTGGAAATTCTGAGAAAAAGAAATATTTCGGCATATTTCGTACGAATCATACCTGTTCAAAAAAACATTTCTTCGTTCAAAATTCAGTCATCCCGATTTCTGACGGGATATAATTCCAAAAAAAGAATCTTGATAAATCTACTTTAATGAAATTTCAAGGAAAAATACATTTCGGCTCGTTCATCTTACAAATTTTAACCAGTTTTTTAAAGAATTTTTTTAATTTGTACTAAATTATGATACACTAATTATGATACACTACAGTTTGGCCATTTAAATTAGAGACTCTTTTTGCATTTTGCAATTTTTCCCAGGATAGCAACAAATTAAAATTAAAATTCGCGAAGAGCCGTTCGTAGACTTATGCAATGAATTATTTGATAGCAATTGCATTTTTTAATTGGCATACAATTTGTGAACAGCTCTTTTTAAATTTTTTAAATATTTTTCTTAGTTACCAGAAAATTTGAAAATTTACCAAAAGAGTCTCTAATTCAAATGACCAAACTGTAATATCTTGAAAAATGCAAAATTTTAATTTTATGTGAACTTGGTCAACTAAAAAAATGTGCATTTTAATTAAGAAAATGTGACAATAGTTTAAATAAACTACGGACGAAGACATAACATTGAATTTGTTAAATTTTAAATCAAACAATATATTTCGACGTCTTAATCTTACAAATTTTCACAGGTTTTTTTCCTCGTGAAAGTTTTAATCGATATAAAAAAATATGTATCAACTTAAATCTTTCACAAAAAGCAAATTTAGGATTTTATACTTGATCTCCTCGATTAAAAAATGAACATTTTAATTGATAAAATGTAACACTAGTTTCTGAACTATTGACGAAGAATAATATTTAAAATATGAATTATCTAACATTTTTTTACACATTATTAATTGAGTATGAAAAAACTTGAAAAAACTAAGATGAATTTTTATATTTTCAGGGATGTAATTCTGAACAAAAATTGGGTTAATTTTTTGAAATCGGGTTAAAATTCGAAAAGTTACAGCATTTTAAAAATCCTGATTTTGGCTGAATTTTTTTTGAAAATTCCGCCAAGGGCGTAAACATGGCAATTCAGGAAAACGAAGAAATACAGGTCCACTTATTTTTGAGCGTGAACAATTTAAAATTAGTCGGTGGATATCGGCGATAATCACCACACACCTCCTCATTGTCAGTTATTTTCGTTCAAATGCATTTCATTTCACTTCATTTGACTTCATTTCTTACTTCGCCCCATGTATTAAGCATAGGGTGAAAAATGAAATGAGTGAGAAATCCTTTCATTCACAGTAATTCATCTGAAATGACAGATCCTTCACTTATTTTCATTCAAATCACGGGAAATTCATTTTCATTCACTATCATTCCCTATTATAATCAGTCAAATGAATGAAAGTGAACAGGTATGGTACGAATTTGAATAAGCTTGTTTTTTAGTGGAATTTTTTATCGAGAAAAAAATTCCAATTTTGGATTTTATACGTGATCTCGTCAATTAAAAATGTGAACATTTATTGGAAAAATGCTACAGTTTATGAAATATTGATGAAGAAAAATGTAAAATATGAGAATTTTTGACATTTTTAGCCAAGTTATTAATTGAGTACAATTTTTTAAATTTTATAAGGACGTATATGCATTTATGGAAAATTTCAAAATTTTTATATTTTACAACGTTTTTCTTAGAAATGAATTTTCTGTTTACATTTTCTGAGGATAACCATGATCTGATAATCTTGATTTTATTAAATTGTACATAACGCGATATATTACGGCGTCTTAATCTCACAAATTTGAACAAGTTTTTTTCTAGCAGAATTTTTATTTATACAAAATTACATATTCAGTCTAATGCTTTGCAAAATGCAAATAATGGATTTTATACGTGAGCTTGTGAATTAAAAAATGTACATTTGATTTTAGAAAATGCTACAGTTTATGAAATATTAACGATAAAATGTAAATATATGTAAGACTTTTTGGTATTTTGAACTAAGTTATTAATTGAGTTCAATTTTTTTATTTTGTGAAGACGAATGTACATTTATTTAAATTTTTTTAATTTGTATTTTAGTTTTGTTATATTTTAAACGTTTTTAATTAAAAATGATTTTTTTGCCTAAACTTTTACGAGGCCAATAACAATCTGATAACATTGATTTTATTAGATTTTAAATAAAGCAATATATTTCGGTGTCTTAATCTCACAAACTTGATGAAGTTTTTTTCCGAATTTTTTAATGATACAAAATTACTGATTAACTTTAATGTTTTGCAAAATATAAATTTTGGATTTTACACGTGATCTTGTCAATTAACAAATGTACATTTGAATTAAGACACTGTTACTGTTACTGTACTGCTACAGTTTATTAAATATTGACAAAAAAAATTTTAAATATAAGAATTTTTGGCATTTTAGGCAAGTTATTAATTTAGTAATTTTTTTTGAGGACGAATATTTGTGGAAATTTTTTTAATTTGTTTTTACAAAATTTCAGGACGAGAATAATTTCATCTGGTAACATTGCTTTTATAAAATTTAAATACAAAATAGATTTTGGCGTCTTCATCTTCAATTTTGTGGACTTTGTTACAGAACAAAATTATGTATTGGATTTATTATTTTATTTTATTGTAAATTTTGGATTTTATATGTGAGCTCGTCAACTATGAAAATGTGCATTTTAATTGAGGAAATGTCACAAAATATTGACGAAGAAAATATTTTGCAGGAAATGTGGTATTTTTTGGCATGGCTATTTTCAAATTGGTTGTTTTAAAATTCATCAAACAAAACCTAATTTGATTAATTTTTTCCATACAAGAAGGAAAATTTAGAAACAATATTTCCATGAAAAAAGTAGCGTAGCTACAAGTTTTAAATAATTGGAAGTGTTTGACACCTAAAATAAAATTCTAGTGAATTTTAATTTTTTTTAATTTCATAAATGAATCATTGACCGTTTTCTGGTGATTTTTTGAGTGTCGAATGGAGGTAATGAAATAAATTGTATGATATCCACCAATTTTTTTGATAACTTTAAAAAATGAGTGGGCCAAAACACTTTGATAAAATGCAATATTTTAATCACACGTCTTCCGAAGGGTTGGATTTCAAGGAAAAAATTTCCACGAGTTAAATTCCTGAACGATTTTTGCATGGAGAAAGTAACAAGATTTCAAAAATTGCAAGAGTTTGTCACCGAAAAAAGAAATCTGGTGAATTTTAACCATATAGAATTCAATAGATACGTTCTTTTGGGATTTTAATGTCAAATGAAATTATTTAAATTTTAT